CGTCCAGCCATCCCACTATCTGCTGCTACCTAGCATCAAACTCACACCCTCCTGAATGAGAAGCGAGAGCTCCACCTTTAGGCCACTACACCACTCTAACATTCTCGAATTTTAATGCCACTTAAATCAGGGGTGTCTCAAACCCTGGCGACTTTAAGACCTCTGGCCTTCAACTCCCAGAATTCCTCAGACAGCATGGCTGTCTGAGGAATTCTGGGAGTCGAAGTCCACGGGTCTTAAAGTCACCAAGGATGGACGCACCCCTGATTTAAATGTTTTGACCTAGCCTCATCTGCTTTTCGAGTCTTCCTCTTCCTCGTTTTCCAGGAGGGCATCTCCAGCATCCCACCTGAACGTCAAGCCTTGCCTTCACCCCAAAGTAGCTTGAAGGGGCTCCCTCCCCTCCCACGCTGCTCAACCCCAGGACAATAAATCAAAGGCAGATGGCGGGCCCTCTTTGGCCTGGCCATTTCATTCTGCTGTTATACCAGGGGTCGGCAACTTTAAACACTCAAAGAGCCATTTGAATCAGTTTCCCACAAAAAAAGAAAACAACCGGAGCCACAAAACCCTTCCGGAGCCTGACGATTTCCTGAGGCACAAAACTAACATATGTAGTTTTAAAGGTTGTTGTTCCTTCTGAAACCTTTCTTGGATTTATTCACGGTTGGCCTACTGGGGGTCGAAAATCTCAATAAATCGCCTGCTGGCGGGTATCACACTTTGGCGGTTGTGACCCATATTTTAAGCGACAGAGAGCAGCAGCAGAGGGACGAAAGAGCCACATGCGGCTCCAGAGCCATGGGTTGCTGGCCCACTATGTTATACCAAGCTTTTCTGCTTTCTTACCATGTTCCACAGCGCAGCTGGTTCTTTTCCCATCGTATACTAAAGGGGGGTCTGGCAACACGCAAAGAAACTCCGTCTTTACCCCGTTAGGAAGCAGAGAAAGGTGGGCAGCGTCCTCACAGGACCCAGAGTTCATTTTGCCGGGGCCCGAATGGGAACTCGGCGTGGGGGGCGGGCTTTCCAAGCCGGCTGTGGGTCCAGCCACAGTTTCACCCGTCTCTGCTTTCATGCCTTCAGTCTTTGTGGGCTGAGCGGGGGGCAGGGAGTCCGCCTGCCTCGACGGAGGTGCCGACAGAGCTGCGGGCCCTGCCTTCTGCTGGGCTGCCCTCGCCTCCACCTTCTCCGGCAAGCTCTCCACCCGCGTCACCACAAAGATTTTGTGGCCTCGGCCCGGACTGGAAACCGATATCCGCTTCTCATTTCCCGGAGAACTGACCCGCAGTGGTGTGCTGCTTTCGGTTCCTATTCGAAATTCACATTTGATTTCTTCCACAGCGTTCAAGGGGTGGCTCTTGTCTTCGGCGCCAAGGGGGTCCCGGGCCGCTTCGGGAGAGCTCACCCCGAGGGGTCCTTCCGTGTGGTTGGGCTTGCCGCGTTGTCCTGCTGGAGAGAAAGTCTCTGTTTGCGATGTCGCCTCCTCCTTCTCCTCTTCCTCCTCTTCGGTGTCTGAATCAGAATCGCAGAGGGTGTGACCGTCAGCGGCCGTTCTCTGCTCCGCGGCTCCGTTCTCGCGGGGTATCAAGGCTTTGGCAACTTCGTCCACTTCCACCAGACTGGACACCATGTCCCCGTTCTGCCCGTCCTCTTCCGCCTGCTCCTCCTCCTCCTCTTCCTCCTCCAGAGGTTCCGTGATTGTGATCTCGGGCATGGAGGCCGACTGCTGGAGTTTCTGCTCCTTCTCTTCCTTCTCTTTGGCCAGGACGAAGTTCCGCTTGCAGCCGTTCTGGATCTCGGTCAGGAGGGCCTTCTGCGTCTCGAGGAAACTTTTCACCTGCGAAGAGGAAGGAGGCAGAACAAGGTGAATCAGCGCACTTAAGGTGTTCAACTGGGGAGCTTCAAAGACAGGACCCTCCTTTCCTGCCTTTCAGTAAAATCTGCCTGACTTCAGATGTGATGCAGGTGGCAAACTCCACCCAAAGTCAGCTAGCTGGCTTTCGTGCCCAAGGCGGGACTAGAACTCCCTGTCTCCTGGTGAGTGGTCCATGGTCCCTCAGCAGCTTTCATGCGTAAGACAGGACTAGAATTCCCTGTCTCCAGTGAGTGGTCCATAGTCCCTACCAGCTTTCATGCCTAAGACAGGACTAGAATTCCCTGTCTCCTGATGAGTGGTCCATAGTCCCTCAGCACCTTTCATGCCTAAGACAGGACTAGAATTCCCTGTCTCCTGATGAGTGGTCCATAGTCTCTCAGCAGCTTTCATGCCTAAGACAGGACTAGAATTCCCTGTCTCCTGCTGAGTGACCCATGGTCCCCCACCAACTTTCATGCCTAAGACAGGACTAGAATTCCCTGTCTCCTGCTGAGTGACCCATGGTCCCCCACCAACTTTCATGTCTAAGACAGGACTAGAATTC